GTACAGGCTTGGGTAATGTAGACCTTCTATTTTAAAGGAACACTGTGCTAACTATGAAGTTGTTATAGTGCGGTCAGTAATAATTTGGAGGCTTGGAAGTGCGCCTCCAACTCTACTGGAAAGGAGAACCAGGACTGTTACGTCCCAGCTCTCATTCTCTGACATACTGTGACATCACTCGTGCATGTGCAGTGCCATTAAGGTTTGCCATAGAGAATAATTGCAGGCAATGATTAACGGATAGAGATGCAAGCCCTGTACATGAACCTACAGTCCCCAATGCTCCTCTGTGCGAGGAGGAGCAGATGGCCACACCAAGGGAGACTAGACACAAGATAAAATGTGAGTAAACTTATTTTATTCTTAATACGTGCCCATGGGACACGGAAGGGGGGGCTGAAAATACCTATAAAATAACTACAGATTTGTATTCCTAACACTAGTGTTCCTTTTCAGTACCACAGGGCAAAGCAGTACTTTGTGTTGCTCTACAAAAGGTCTGTAGGTTGAGCTCCGTTACACTCCGTTACGCAGTTTGTGACTTATGAGCGTACGTGACTTTATCAGCAGTGTGGCTACTTATACAGCTGAGTAAATCAATGTGTTAATGTCCACATTAGTACAACAGTTGTGACCTTTAAAGGGCAAGAATGATTTAATTTTAGATTGCTTTTGTCAGGAGGAAATAAAGCAATCCTATGTAGTGATCACACCTTTCTATTTTTCATGCTCTTTTTTTTTTTTTTGGCATTTGCAATGTATACATACATAGTTAAAAGAAAAGTGACAAAGGTATAAGTGTACAAGTTAAAGATAACCATGCGTCTGTTGCATGTTGACAGAGATAATGATAATCGCCTATTGTTGAGCTTATAATCACGGAGTAGAGTATGCCTATTTTTTGTTAGGTTAATGTCGAATAGTACTTCAGTGTGACTGTGGAGTCTAGTGTAGAAACGTTGAACTTGAGACATCTATGGCGCGCCATTTTTATGTAGACCCTTGTATGTGCAATGTGTCTGGGGCTGTCGAGGAAGTGTGCAGTTAAAGTATATGCTCCTGATTAGCATATCGTAGTGAGGTAATATAGAACTGCATCACTCTTGCAGCAATGTGTTGGTGTGAACTGCGCTCCACTTAAATGAATGACCCCTAACCCCTAAGGTCTTGAGGGGAGGAGGAGAGGAACTTTTCAGTGCTGACGGCGCTCTATGGGGAAGGTGAGCACCCTACAGTTTCATGGGTGTTATATTTGGTTACAAACTGGTTAGGAACAGGTGAAACAACACTAAAGAAGACAATTGAATAAAACATAACTCTTGAGGATAAAAGATCAAAGATTAAAGAAAATATGAATCAGCTGCTCCTTGTCAAAGTTCAGGTTACTGGACTTGGCCCTACGCCATTCCTTGGCAAAAATGGTCTGGGTCCCAGTCATGTGGTTAACGGGAGGCAGGCATGCAGGCTGGTTTGCCCCGTCTGAATACCTAAGGCTTGGAAAAATGCCGGGGCCTCGGCTGTCAATGATAACTGGTATGTCACTCCGTTCTTCTCCACACTCAAGGATCTGTGTCGACCATCTGTTAGCGACCCCTGTGGTTGGAGTTGGTGAGCTACTGGGCTCATGGGACGCCTCCATTGGAGAGTGGACCAGGGCAAGTCCTGGTAAAAGGTGAGTGTGGCTGATTCGAAGGTGTAGGGTGTTTTCCCCTTAATGCCGACCAGATGCGGCCATTATCGAGGAGCATTTGGCATCATTCTATCACGTCACGTGGAGCCGCTGCAGTCGCTTTCGGGGATTTGTTAATACGAAAGCAGCTGTCAAAGACAATCTTCTTGGATTACGTTGCCGGTATCAGTGAGGCTACCAGCCATCTCAGTGCGGTAGCTCATCAGACAGGAATGCGTCTGGAATGCCCCTAATATTTGTTAGCTCTGCGGCTTTGGTCATCAAGAATGTCGGCTCTCGTGGCTAAGGAGGTTTGAGTTTTCTGAATTTGTTGCATGGATTCTCTTATTACAGGGACCTCTTGGCGCAGGTCCATAATATCCTCCTTAAGAGTACTGGGTTGTAGCTGTCACTGTTTGGATTTCCACTTTAACAAGGTTGAGGTCCGCAAACAATAGCTTAAAGGATCACTATAGGGTCAGGAACACAAACCTTTATTCCTGACCCTATAGTGTTAACACCACCATCTAGCCACCCTGGGCCCCTCATGCCTCCATAAATATAGTAAAAATCTTACTGTATTCAAGCCTGAAGCTGGAAATCTGCATGCTGTTAGACTCTGAAAAAGAGGCAGTCTGCTGACATGTGGTAGCCTGATCCAAGCCACAGTGCTTCCCCATAGGATTGGCTGAGACTGACAGAGGCAGATCAGGGGCAGAGCCAGCATGATTCAAACACAGCCCTGGCCAATCAGCATCTCCTCAAAGAGATGAATTGAATCAATGAATCTCTATGAGGAAAGTTCAGTGTCTGCATGCAGAGGGAGGAGATACTGAATCACAGGATGCTGTGCACAGTGCTGTCCTGTGTTCTGCTGACAGCAGATCTGAGTGGATGGAGGCATATTATGCCTCCATCCACTCCGAAGTCCCTCTGGTTGACTCTGACTGCAATTGGAGGTGTTCCTATCTTTCAATGTAAACACTGTATTTTCTGAGAAAATACAGTGTTTACATGAGAGAGGCTGCAGGGAGCTATAGCTCTCACCTGAACAACCTCATTAAGCTGAAGTTGTTCAGGTAACTATAGTGTCCCTTTAATAATTTTTAGCAGTATGACAATGTTGTTTTGTGGAGGGTGTATGAGGGTTCTCTTCAGGGGTCTCTGCTGGTGCATTTGGCCTTTCTAGGGGCACAGGGGCCATCTCCTCCACTGTTTGTCTGGGCATGGGTGTGCAAGCCTCACCTTTCGCCTGGGTGACCATCTTGTGTGTTACAGGGTGCTGAAACATGGTGCCAATATTGCGGTCATGATTTACTCGAGCCAGAGGTCGTTTCTGGACATACAATATGGGCCCGACAGCAGCACAAATCTTTTGGGCTGCTGAGGGGCGCGAAAGGCCTTAATCTGTTGGTGTGGGAGGTTGCCTGTTGGAGGGTAAAGGAAAGGCATCTGGTGATTCCACACCATGTTAGAGAACAGTATATGCTGGGATGGTGTCTAGATATTGTGTTTTAGTCGAGTAATTTAGCGATTTCGATCATTGGTGACGGAGTTCTCAGGAATGGCATCTGCTCAGCTCTCTAGCTAAGCTCCGCCGCCCCGATCACACATTTCTAGTGACTAATTTATTCATGAAATAAAGTCTTCCATTTTAAAAGTATCCCCCCCTCTGTAAATGCAGCAGATTGAAGGAGTACTTCAAGCACCATAAACACTACAACTCGCTTTAATAGTTATGGTGCTAGAAGTTCTCGAACACTTTCCAAGGATAAGTAGTCAAACTGTTCTCCATTGCCTTAACCATTTACCATGGGAGGGTTTCAATAGAATTCTGGCTGTAGACAACACTAAATTCCTTAGACTCTACTGTGTCACACATAGTACACCACAAACAGACCCCTAATGTGGACACCAGAGACAACTTGCCAAAAAGTGCAGTGCAAGCATGCAATTAAGTTTGCATGTGCCGTGTCAAACAAAAACTTTATTTATTTATTTTTAAAGCAAACCAGGAGATGGAAATTCTAGAATTAAAGTAGGGAAACCAAGTGATGGATTAGATTGGTTATAGTCTCTGGAACTGCAGGATTCATGTGCTTTGGCTGAGTGGATGCAATTTAAAAATAAAAAAAAAAGTCAGAGCAACCTACGGGTCACCTCACTTCTCTATTTACAAGATTTCTGACTGTGTTGTTTTTAATGTATGGTTTCATGAAGCATTCATATTGTGTCCTGACCTACATTATTCATGTCCTTGCATTTGATCATTCTAACCTTGGAATTATTGTGTGCGCGCACGTGCATGTGTGATCTTTATGATATAATTTGTAACACTATTATGCTCTAGCATCTGGCAATTTTTTTATTTATTTTTTAAAATTTATTTATTTATTTTCAGCCATTTGGTAAATCTGGGTGGAAGGTTATCGGAAAATGAAAATGGCTTCAACAAATTTTATAATTGGGTGTATGTTTACCAATCCTGATTATTTAGGCTGGATATTCTCCACGTATTGCTTACCAATGCACTGCCTTGTTCTGCTGTTAATAACTTTTCTCTTGCTTAATCTTTGTGATCATGTCCTTTAAGGGAGCTTATGTGAGATCATGCAATATACAGTTTTACTGAAATTAATTCTATCTTGCACAATATCACTTTAACCAACAAACTTTATATGATCTTGGTCACCTGGCACTTTAAACTACTGTGTGTTTTTATTTTTTTTATTGTAGCTCAGGAGCTGTTGAGCAAGGAAAGCAATGAAGAAGAAAATCCGTGTCGGAGGAACCCAAATTTGGTCATACGAGAAGAGACCTTCTTTTTCAGGGCCTGTTGCAACTCTTAACTCACAATATTCCACTATGGCGCAAATGCAAGCAGCCAGTGATGCTGAAGAACCCTTATCCCAGAATTATGGACTGTATGTTGGTTATTAAGTTACCAATTGTAAGTTTTAGGACAACGTCATTATGAGAAGATTGGAGAACAGGGTAAGCTGCTGAAAAAGATGTCACTTAGGGATTTTAAAAAGAAGTGGTAATGTGATGGGGAATATATATATATATATATTTTGTAGGACTCTTGGGTAAAGGGGGGAGGAGGGGAAGCTATCTGAACGGAGAAGTAATAATCTATGAACATAATCTGGCAAATTCATGTCGTGGAATTTTTACAGACAATAATACAGTTGTAAGTCTCATAAGTTTCAGTATTAAAAGTTGACTAATCTTTTATATGACTTGCAAAATATTAAAAATACATGTAATTGCACCAAATATATTTAATAACAAAACAAGGTGTCTTAAATTTGTATTTATTTTTGGCTGGTATAAAATATTCCATTGTGACATGAGAAAACAAAGTACTTTAAATTCTTTTACAAATTAGAGGATGATGATCAAGAGTGAATAGACATTTAATACAAAATTTAAGATCGAGCATGCATAAAAGATAAAGTTGGCCACATCCATGCCTTGTGAATTATCCCTCGGACATATCTTGCAAGTGGAGTAGCTCTCCATCTTTAATTGCAATTTGAACTCTGTAAATTGATGGCTTGCGTAATTGTTGAGCTAGAATGTCATAATGTTAATGATGCAAAGAAGGGTATTTTTCCCCATATATATGATATGCTAATTTGCTCATAAATTGAATTGTTAAAACTTTGAAGGACACTTTTTTTTTTTTTTTTATGTACTTTTTTTTCTTTTCTTTCTATTTCTAAGCAGTGTGGAATACATAGAATGCAGATTCCTAAATATTCTTGATCGTAGTATTACATTCCTGAACAGAATATCCATTCATGCAGCAGAAGGTGATTATTGTGCATACTTGTTAAAGGACCCTATCCATATGAGGGTCACATTTGTGTGAGAGGTAACCTGCACACTGGTTATTAAACTCCAGAAAAGGAGGACAGCTGAGGCATGAACTTCAAATTTAGTATACGCAAATATTTTGGATCAACAGCAAAAACATAGGTGAGGAAGGCTGAACTTGATGGACGCAAGTCTCTTTTCAGCTATGTAACTATAGTATGTGCTGTGATCAATGCATAAACACTCAATTCCAGCACAATTTATGAAATATTTCTGACTGTGAACCTTAAAATACTGTGGGGATTTCTTGTATTTAATCTTTTACGAATATCGGAAGCAATGGTTATGTCTGCACCTACGTATGCCATCATTAGCAGTACATAGGCACAAGCGTAACAATAACCCATGATGTCTTGTTATTATAACAGCGATCTGCAGCATTGTTTGAGACAAACAGGAAGTTAAAGGGACTAGGAAGTCCTTTCCGGAATGAGATGACAAACAGTGAGGATCTCAGTTGTCTACTATGAATTCAGTGCTTTCCTGTATAGGTACACATGTCTGACCCTGGGATCTGTACATGGATTGCTGTGCTTCTTCCCAGGCAGTACCTCTCCTCCCAAAACGACCCACAGGGCGGATCCCACGGCCGGTATACCAAGAGGGGTCAATGTCAGGGTCTGTTTATATGAGGAGGGAAGAAAGTTGCAATATGAAAGAATATACAAAATCTATCTTGAAACACATGATGATCTGTGTGCCCATCATCACATATGGAATTACTTTTATAATGAAAACAAGAGAAGCTGATGTACTGATGTAATCATTTGCATCATATAGCTATTTAGCGGCTTCACGCCTGTTTAATCATTACTCATTTAAAAGAATAATCATCAAGTAACCTGAATATTGCCGTTCATGGACATTATAATATATTATCATATTCTACAATTTAAATATATTCCTCCTCACAACTTCTCATGAAATGATATGAAAAACATCTCAAAGTTCCTGCTTTCCATTATTTGTTTGGGCACCTACCTCTTCTGGGAGGTTTGTTTATTAAGATAATGTTTATAAAAATATAATAACACTCACCACTCCTCCTTTGTGCTGCTGATGACATCTTCGGGAACAGACCTAGAATGGAGAAGGTTCAAGTTCAACTTGTGACACAGAGTGATTGTTTAGGTATGAAGTTCATCTGAGCAGATTCTAAGTATAGAGCAACCTTGAAAACAAATGAATTATTGGCTGGTTGCTCCACCTTTTAGAAGTTGCGGCCCAAAATTACGGTTTATGCTCAACTCCCTATGGATCCATATTTGGGCTGATTCGTAATAATTTATTTTTTTTAAAAACTCTTAAAAAGCAACGTCAAGCCAATTTTTGTTCTAGAAATCAACCTCCAATCATATTTCTAGATTCTTACTAGAGAATTCAGATCTCCAAGAAATGGAAAGTATATTTACAAATGCTGAAAATTGGAAGACCTAGGAAATGCTCGTTTTTTAAAAATTGATGTGCAACTGTCTTGTATTGTGCAATGCTAGCAAGTTTGCTCTGCCTGTACAAAGCTCCCCCACCCCTCCCCTCCCCTCCTCTAAATCATAGAATGCTTATTGCATGATAGGCAAAGTCTAAACATTACAAAACCTTCTCATTGCATGCATGAAAACACAATTCGTAAAAATAAGTAGTGAAAATGTACAGCTGTATTCAGAGGCGTAACTAGAAACCACAGGCCTCCGGTGCGAAAATTGCCCTGCCCCCCCCACCATCTCATTCATACAAACACACACTGACATACATGCAGATGCATACACGGACACACATGCTGATACACAGACACACATACCCAAATGCAGACACCCAAACTAACACACACGCACAGAATACAGATACACAGAAACTTAAGGACAAACATTCAAATACACCGAATGACACTCCTACAGATACAGTGACACACATACCCAGGGCACGCACTGACATACAGGTATGCAGACATACAGATACGCAGGCATACAGATACACATACAGAGACACACACATACATGCAAAATGTCCCCCTCCAGCCATCCAGTTAGAAAAAGCAGAGAGGCAGGTGACGCTAACAGCATGGGCCACCCGATGGGTCCCTGAACGTGCAGCCCCAGCGGATCTACCATGCGACTGGGGCCACAACACATGGCGGCAGGCACCTGTTCACAGGGGTCCGCTGGGCCCCCTGCAGTGCGACCCCTGCAACCTCGGTAGTCCCGCCAGTGGCTGTATTGTAAAAAGTAACTCAGATCTAAAAAGAATATCCAGCCAAACTCAAGCAGGGATATTTACTAAAATGAGAATTGTAGGGAATAAACAGTGAATTTTAAATTAAGGAGAAAGTAGCCAAAGTGGAAACATAGTTGTCATAAAGATTTTTTTTCCAGTTCATTTTGAATCCTGACCATTCCCACTAATTAAATACGCCTGAAAATGTGGTGTTGGTATAAAAGAGATGGACATACTCCTTATGATGTGATGAGTGCTATCAGAATACAATGTTACCCAAAGAGTAATGTAACAAGATCTGAATGCATGTTGATACATATCCATTAATGAAAAATAAAGGACAATACTCACTTCTAATATCCAGAGACGGTTGAAGTACTCGGCTCTGAGTCTCGGTCAATGCCAGGCACAGAAGCAGTAAGCCGGGGATAAGGGCACACACCAGTTTCATTCTACTCTTGTGGTACCCACCTAATGTCTGCAGGTAAGCTGGACAGTAGGATGTCTGTAAAATAAACATATTACAACACTGAGCCCTTGATAGAACTATTGGATGCGGAAGACATCCCTGGTTGTCTAAGTGACAGCCAGGAAGGTATTTCTGCTCCAAATTAAAAAAAAGCTGTGACCCGTGGAAATATCCACTTTTATAAAGTGTCACCAATATGACAGACAGGGATTTTGTCTTAAAATGTTTAATTCATGTTGAATTTCCAATATTCGAGTGGGGTTTACTCAATAAAGTCCAAAATTGTACATAATTAAAATCTATACTGCACAATTAAGGACAGATGATCTTCGGGAAAAAAAATACTACTCTGCTTCACATTTCAGGCCAAAATAGCTCATCGCGGGAAAAAAAGTAAATCTGATGTAGTCACAGCTTAAATATTTAGGCCTCAACATGTACGTAACTCTGCTGATGCATTAAAGCAGAACAAATACTTTCTCCAACCATCATGTGGTAACTAATATGGGAAGTGGTATGTTATGCAGCATCTCTGGAAAGCAAAAGTACTGTGTTCTTTTCTTCCACTACCACCAGGGTCAACCCATGCCCTTTCAGGACTGAAACATGTTAATATCTAGAAAACATGTTTTGGTGCACAGGACATGCCCTTGGTGGGGCTGAACTTAAATGTAAAAAGATGAACCCTCTAGAATGCAGTTTCACCACCAAGTACTGTGGGGGGGACAGGAGAACAATACACCTCTGAAGGAACTATAAACCCTAAGTCAAGGGTAGACACATTTTGGCACTCCAGATATTGTAGACTACATTTTCCTAAATGCTCTTACAGTCATAATGTTGTAAGGGAAATATAGTCCTCATCATCTAGAGTGACGAACTTGCCAACCCTCGGGTTAGGGTCCGGGTCCATAGTTCCTCCAGGAGCTTAAGATATTCTTCATATCTGTCTTCAGGATCCACTAACGCACTAGGATTCCATGAGATATTTGTTCACAGGTGAAATATTCATTGGATACATTAATTGCACTTACTTTGCCATATCAACCTGGTGCATCATCAATTAGTAATGAGTTGTCCAATAGTAAACAAGAACAATGCATTAATAATTCAATATTTATCAGCATATTTATCGTTACAGAACAGTAACAGCCCATGTGCATCTCTTACTTCAGTATCCTGTGAATCAACTACTATCAGTCATGCACAGATATAGTCCATGCAAGCGTACACAAGGCATCAAACAGTTGGTTAATGAGATCTATTCAATAATACCTTATACCTCAGCATCAATAACCTAAGCTTCAAAATTATACTATCATATCAAGTAAATATTATTCTAGTTCCAATTAATAGATATTTATTATACTTTGCCTCATTAGGAAGCAGAATTATGAATTAGTGATAATTATTTTAGTATTCACTTTGTCTAATCTTGTAGCCAGAGGTATACATAGCATGCATTAAACAGAAATATTAATCTTTTCTTAGCATTCCATGCTAACAGTGTTTAAATGAAAATATATAATACCAAGCAGTCTAATTGATAAAGATATTTCCAATTTCTGGCTGAGCATGTTGAGAGTTTTAATACACAGCAGCTAGTATGAGAACAGTTGCCTATCTGTACATTCCAGCCATACATTTTGCTCCAAAAGTCATTATACTCACTGTATTTGTTGATGACAGGTTCTTTGTCCCAGCAATCCTTTGCCTGATACTGATCCCCCTCTCGCCCTGGTTATATTAGCTGCCTGCCCTGACGTCAGAAGCAGACCCTCTTAGAAAACCCACCAGCCTCCCTCTCACCTGCCTAGCCTCTAAATCCATTATGATAATTTTTCTTTAGCCAACTCAAGAATTTGCTTTTAATGACTCACTTGTGATTCTCTTATCTTCTTCCAATTTCATTTTCTTCTGAATGAATAACAGAAAAAAACATCAGATCTTTCCTCTGTACTAATCAGTATTTACGAGACGCATTACACCTCTTTAACAAACCCTGTGTACACATAAAATTACTTTGAAGATATACCCCTCCAAAATGGGTTTATGAAAAATAAAAAGGAACTGTCAGTTCTCAGGATTTTTAAGATTAGATTTATGTATCCCTATATCTAACAAATGTGTATTTATGAAGTGTGAAAAATAAAATCAGAAATAGAAATGCACACCTCCGTATTCAGCAACTGGGCGCGTCCATTTTGGCTTCCTATTAGTCATTGTTACAAGTCAGCACAGAGAAAGTATACAGAGACGAATAGAAATCTAACATTGTTTTGATGTCACCTCTTCTGTGAAATCAAACTGTCCACTTAGGAAGCAACACTGAGTGACAATCAATTTCACATGCTGTTGTGCAAATGGCATAGACAACAGGTGGAAATTATAGGAAATTAGCACCCCAATGTATCTAAGCGAATATAGCCAAATTGATATCTGTAGAATACTATTTGTGATAAAGTGGGAAAAAGACATCAAAAAACAACTGAGTCACACATTTTTAAAGCAAATAAAAAATTATCCATATGTTCGTCACATACTGAAATCTCAATAAAAATTATCTATCGATGGTACCTAATGCCTACCAGATTGAAGCAGATAGACCCTCAAAAATCTTATATTTGTTGGAGATGTCAACAAGTTCCAGGACCCCTGCTCCACATATAGTGGTCATGCCCCATTCTAAAATATCTTTGGCCACACATAGACAATATTATTTATCAACTCACAAACATACACCATGGACTCCAGAGGCGTACCTCCTGCAGCTCACTCCGACCAACACACCAAAGGCGAAACAATACTTAATATACCATACTAACAGCAGCTCTTACTGCCATAAGCAAATCTTGACTGCAACAAACTGCACCACACATAGAAACATGTATTCAACTAGTGAATATAACGAAAAGATATGAAACAATTGCTAGACTTCCGAATATCTTAAAGGAATTCTGGACAGATGCCTGGAGGGTGTGGGACGAGAAATACGACTCAATGTTAGCAAGTCTCCAGCCCGGACAGCCGTGCACATAGGGAAGGAGCTCACAGCTCAGAGGGTATGAGGCTGATTCCCGGAAGCAATGAATACTGAATTGTCTGATTTTTAACCCTTATGTCATGTCAAATATCCTTGGTGCCATACAGTACACTAAGAGTATAATACTCATAAAGACATCCTCACCCACATCCCTACCTGGGATACCTTATGACACCTCGAGAAAAGGAGATGGTGAAACATTGGTGTGACCAATATTAAGTTCCTGTAGGCACTATATCACATGGGTTTCACCCGTTCATCTATAGAATCTCTTTGAATCTGGCCAAGAACATTAAAGTCTACCACTACCACTACACTCGCAACTGGGAGCACCCAATAAAGGCAACCAGGCTGCCCATACCTGTCTCCCTGTTGCCCCCCACCAAAATTCTTAAGTGTTTACTGTTTGCCAGTTTATACTGTTATTGGTAAACTTGTAATTTCACACAACTAAAAACGGTTATGCAACACGGGATGTCACTCTTACGCAACAGACAATGGAATGGGGATGACTGTATAAAAACTGTGTAAATGCAATATTCTTTTTCTTTGTTATGTACACCGACATGGAATGTTGGATGTTGTGATATACTATCTTGACTTGTTGTATAATGCGTACCTGCAAAAAATTGCAAAAAAAACCCCAACAAAAAAAAACTATTGGAAAGTCTGTGATTGGACAGCCACAGAAAGTCTGGGTGGGAATAGAAGGGGAGAACTTGCAAAGGCTGCAGATAAAAGATCTGCAGGTTTTGCAAGCTGTTTTTAAATATACCCCAATGGAAAAATGCATAATTAAATGAATGCAAGTTTTCATTTGGAATATATCTCCTAAACAAGGAATTTTATTTATTTTGTATTTGGGCAGTGGAGTGTTCCTTTAAATGAAGCATGTCATATCATATAATGAACAATGAAGTGTGTAATATGGGAAAATAATATCATTAAAGTGTATGAGTGTTGAAAGCTTGAAACACACACTAAAAGAAATCCCTTTGGTTTTATCACAGAAGCTGTGCAAGTACAGTTAACATTGAGCAGAGCTTGACAACAGAACAGAGCAGACTCCATGTTATTGAGATCTGGAAAAATTGCACCATACCTGAAAAATATTTAACTCATCCAGCAGCATCAGCCAGAGATACACCTACTATATTTAACTAAACATCCTACCCTGTTGATAAATACTTTTCTTTTTTGCTCCAGTAAAAAAAGAGCAGCGCTGCAAAACAGGGGCCTACGTATTGCTACACCTCACCAGCTTTTGGATGTCTTACAGAATAATCTCAACATATAGGTTGCAATAATTAAAGATAGAAACAGGCATTGCAATATTGAATTTCCGGGAACTGCGTACACTATAACAATGGAGGAACTCACTCACTACTCACACGGCTTGGTATCCTCTATCCTACCTCCAAGCCAAGCCAAGCCAAGCCAAACCAAGCCAAAAAAGTTATGGCAGTACCTCATTAATAAGTCCCCACAGGCACCAGCATTGGTCTCCCGGGATGTGATGATGTGTGCTCATGCTCCCATGATAAAAGACACGTTATGATGGATTTATAAGGCAAACTGAATTTGAGTAATCTCAGATCACAGTTTACCTAGATCTCACCAGAGTCACCCTCCAGCAAATGAAATCCCTTCACACAATTACAAGCCAACTAGAGGAGGCTGGCATAACTTACCATTGGTCAGCACCACAGTCTCTGTTTGTGGCCCACAATGAAAATATCCTTAGGATTTAATATCTGCAGGAGGCTCTGACCTTTCTTGAGGCACTGAAACTTATCACACCACCCCCAAATCCTCAGGGCCCTCCGCCAGTCAGACATAGACCTTATCAAAAATTGTCCCATTGGTACGTGGAGGAGGTTGGGACTCGACATGGGGAATTAACTCTTATGTTCCAAACTGGGTTTCTCTTCTCAGGAATTGACATGCTATGATATGTCCAGTTTTACTTTGTCATTTGTTTCTAGTGGCTTGAATGCTTCAATTGGTTTCCCCAAATTCAGCTGAAAATACAACTTATAATGATTTCTCCAGTCTCAAAATAATTCAACCCTTTCACTGCAAGCATCTTTAGTACTTAAAGGACCACTATAGGCACCCAGACCACTTCAGCTCAATGAAGTGGTCTGGGTGCCTGGTCCATCTAGGGTTAACTGCTATGTTTACATTAGGGTTAATCCAGCCTCTAGTGGCTGTCTCATTGACCACCGCTAGGGGCTCTTCCACGCTTCTCACTGTGAAACTCACAGTGAGAAGACACTGATGTCCATAGGAAAGCATTGAGTGGGTTGGGGTAGGTGTGTGGTGTGGGTCGTGGAAGGGGAGGGGGTACGGTAGTCGGGGGGGAGGGGTCTGGTGGGTCAGCTGTCTGTCGTCCTCCGCAGTCTGGAATTTGGGTTCTGGGTCCTATCTGTCTTCGTTGTGGTGTCCATCGGTTTGGAGTCTTAGTTGGAATCCTTCTTTTGCTGTCTCCAGGATCCAGTACGTCCATATGTCCATGTATGTCGTGAGGGTGGTATTTGCCATCATAGTCAGTTCCTCTATTAGTCTAAGATCCTCCATTTGGCTAAACCAGGTTGTGAGTGGAGGTGTTATGCTTTGTTTCCAGAATTGGGGGAGTACTTGTTTGGCTACATTAAGTATTCTGATGGTCCTCGTGGTGTACGTTGCCCATTTCCAGACCAGTTATGCCCTTGTTGTATCAGACATGCGTTCGGAATGGCTCAAGGGCAAGGACGAACAGTAGTGGGGAGAGGGGGCACCCCTGCCTCGTGCCGTTGTGTATGTTAAAGGCGTCAGTTAGTGCCCCATTGACCAGCACCTGAACCGTTGGTTCCCGATATAGCGCCTCTATCCATTTCCTTAGGTGAGGTCCCAGCCCCACGTGAGCTAGCGTTTCGAAGAGGTATACCCAGCACACCCTGTCGAAGGCCTTCTCTGCGTCCATTGACAGCCTCTGCGTCCATTGACAACCTCCTCCCGTGCATGAGGGGGACTGCCCTGATGGTGTTGTCCCGTGCCACAAATCCCACCTGGTCTGGGTGGACCAGTGATGGAATGTGCTTTGTAAGTCGCGTAGCCAGGACTTTGGCCAGAAGTTTAATGTCGCAGTTTATAAGCGAGATTGGCCTGTAGTTCCCGCATTGTTCCGTCTTTGCCTTCTTTGGGGATAACGGTGATATGGCTTCCATCCCTTACCGCGTCCACCATAGTTGGGTATAGATCTTTGGCATAGGTCTTATAATATTTTGTCAGTAGTCCGTCCGGTCCTGGGCTTTTGCCTGGTTTGGTTTGTTTGATCGCTATTGCTAGTTCCTCTATTGTGATGGGTTTGTCTATTAGCGTAGCTACTTCCGTGTCTAGGGTCGATATCGGGTGTTTTGCTAAGTACTCCCGGACGGATTCGCGAAGGCGCATTTTCGCCGATTCGGTTTGTGGTTGCGGAAGTGTATATAGCTCTGAGTAGTAGGTGTGGATTGTTCTCAAAATGTCTTTTGGGAGACGGTGTAAGATCCCTTGTTTGTCCCTATATGTTCATTGTCTCTGTTTCTTCAACATCGCTGCTAGGAGCTTGCCACTCTTGTTCCCACGTAGGGTAAAGAAAGCCTTGTGTCTGATTGCTTCCCTATGGTGTTTGGAGTGCAGTAGTGTAGCTAGTTCCCGTCTCAGTTGTAGGAGTCGGGTTTGGTGTTTGTTTTGTTCGTCTGTCCTGTGTATGTCGGCCAGGAGGTCGGTTAGCTGGGCTTCGGCTTGCTTCTTTAGTATTGCCCCGTTGTATGAAATGGCCCCTTATCACGCTTTTGTGTGCTTCCCATCGAATTGTCGGGGATGTCTTCTCCGCTGTGTTAATTGCTAA